AGAAATCGAGAACGGAAGTAACAAAAGAGCACTATTCTTTAAATTTATTTTGTACACATATATGAGAAGGGAAAATAAATAAATAATTAATTCAAATACAGTGTTCAGAAGAGAAATACGTAACCTCACATGGCCGAACACAAATTTGAGGGCTAGAAATTATAATTGTGTATGCGCGGTAGCGTAGTTGGTTAAGGGGCTATGCTAACAGCCCGAAGGTCGCGGGTTCAAGTTACGATGAGGTCACTGGATATTTTTCAATTGAACTAATCCTTCCAGCAGCACAATGGCCCTGAGGTCTACTCAGCCTCTAACAGAAATGAGTACCAGGAATTAATTAAATAATTTTCCTGGGGAGTAAAGCGCGGCCGGCGCGTAAGGCTGACAACTTTACCGCCATCTTTGAGCCGAATGTCTAGATAATGTGGGACCCTCAATGTCTCACAACCCTATGGGCCTCCAAGGCCTGTCACAAGGATAGCTTTACTTCTACTTTTACAATTGTGTGCACATCAGTACGTTCTGGCAATACCATGTAACCAAATTCAGAAAACTAAAACTATGTTTCTGGGCAATGCATGTAATGTTGAGTGTACTGTTACTGCAAATTGCTTTAAAATAATTTATTTCATTATTACACTCATCTCCAACCAGTGCCGAGGTTAAGAAAAAGTAGGTCTATACTTCCACACCCCTATACGTCTTCATGGTATGGTTGGCAGTTACTCGCTGTTAGACACCATTTCAATAGCCATGGAACCGTGGACGATTGGGCATCGCGCTTTTGTTTTTGAGACGTTTATTCAAATGGGTAGTTCAGTGGTGCTTACGCAACGCAGATTTCATACTCACTTCAATGTTGGTCGACATGGCGCCGTTCCGTCTCGAAACAGTATTGAAGTGGGTGAAGAACTTCAGGACAACTGGATCTGTGAGACCGGGTACAGCTCGGGGAGGCGATCGAACCGTCAGGACTCCGCAAAACATCGAAAGAGTTCGACAAGCTGTGGAGAGCAGTCCATATCGGTCAGCGGTAGGGCACGCTCACGCTCTGCGGATGTCAGAGAGGTCAGTTCGCCGAATTTTACACTTTGACCTTCACTATCACCCGTACAAAATCATGGTGGTTCAAGAACTGCAGTAGAACGATTTCATACGGAGGTTTATGTTTGCTGAAAGAATGCTGGAAGTGCTGAGGGATGACACTGTTCTCATCATGAGTGATGAGGCGCATTTTCACTTGACAGGAAGCGTCAATAAACAAAATTTCCGGTACTGGTCGGCAAACAATCCCCAAGAACTCCACCAAAGACACCTGCATTGCGAACGAGTCACTGTGTGGTGCGGAATGGCCCGCTTTGGCGTAATTGGGCCTTACTTTTTCATGGAAGGCAATGCACTGTAACAGTAAACTCACAAAGTTACGTGACAATGTTGCACGAGTTCTTACTGCCTGAATTGCGAAGGCGTCGCATCGACCTCACTACAGTTTGGTTTCAACAAGATTGGGGTACTTGTCATACCTCAAGAGAATCAATGGCCTCATTGAGAGAACATTTTCCTGTGCACCTCATTTCGAAGTGTGGGGGGTGAGTGGCCCCCTCGATCCCCAGATCTTTTGGCGTGCGATTACTTTCTATGAGGCTACCTGAAAGCTAAGGTTTACACCGACAAACCACGCCCTCTTGAGGCCCTTTCAGATGCCTGCACCCCAGAAATTGGAGCGATTCCACTTGCTATGCTTCAAAGAACTATGGACAACTTTCCGCTCGTCTGCAACAATGTTTGGACAATAACGGCAGCCATTTTCATGATGTTATTTTCCGATAATGAATTTAAATGTTCTTATTTTTTGTTACAGCATCTTAAATGGCATTATACATGTACTCTTTAAAAACATTAACATTTGCTATTCGTCAACAAATAACTGTGTACTAGTTTTCTGAAAACCACACCTCCCTGCCGGACCCTGTATATGCAATTTGCACATATTTTGAGGTTCTGTCTTCTAAACAAAACGCCGAAAAAGAAACAGCGTTGTCGAAACTGTATGGGGTCTTGCACTGAGATTCCGCCTTCGAATTCAGTTGGGTACACAGTTGCTTGCTCGCGACATTGTTTTGTTGTTCCGTGAATGTAAAACCCTAATGATGGCCTGACCACCCCAGGGGTCCCACCGCGTGTCTGAATAAGGATTTAGAAAATCTGCACACAGTAGAGGAGACAAAGGCTCGAACGGGGCTCTAGCACCAAGAAGAGAATGAAGCACCAAACAATACTTCACCGTTTATTCACCAGTCCTCTATTTATGCATACAAAGTGTAACATATAAGTGTTCGTGAATTTATCCTTAGGATCAGTGTAAACGAACCAAATCCATAAAAGTAACTGTAATTACTAAACATTTACAGATAGAACTTCATTAAACCAGAAATAATGCCTGATAAAGAGCCTAGGATTTAAGGTGCTGCAACAGTTCAGGGAGTACTGTGGCCTTGCAGAGGCGAGGCGACGTCGGGAGCTGAGAGACCTCAAGCCATTAGAGAGAAACAGAACGAACAGTTTCATGCATTTCTCAGTGCATGAGTCACACACACGGGCACGAAATGCATAACACTGAACATATTGCAAACAACTCAAGGTCACATTTCAGCATGCCTTTCTAGTGCCTAAAATCTGACAAAAGTTTACATGCTTGAGAAATATCAGGTCTGTCCGTCCGTGGATCGGAGGCAACCTCAACATTCCACCTGCTCCCAGCGGGGGCCCCATTCCCAGGTGTACATGTTGGACATTATAAGGCGCGCAGAAGTCAGGAAGGTCAGAGATGCATCAACCGCAAGAAGAATGTTAAAAGTGGACATGATCACGTGACGCAGTGCTGAGAGCCACACAAATCAGAACCATTGGCACATTAATGGGACCGTATGAACAGCCGTCACATGTCGCCAAATGAAACAAAACTCCGCACCAGCGGCATTTTGCTGAGGTACTCCGTGCTTGCGTCCAGAAGCTGGCGCGCCGTCTCCGAGTAAGAGAAAACCATCCAGGCCAGGAACAGATAGAAGAGGGCGCTGCATATGCGGTCGACGACATACAGACTGTGAACCAAAGTGATGTCAAAATTGCAGCTAGTTTTATTCAGTTTTAGCCTCGCAATATGTGTACAATTCAATGATAACTATACAGTTTCCACAATTACAACGTTTCGGCCAGTATTTTGACCATCATCATGTAGTACTTAGACAGTTACTCTCAATTCTCTGTTGTTCCCCCTCTATTGGCCAGTGCTTACAGTTGGGGGAAGATTGTGTTGTTGTTTACAGTGTGCCACATGAACTTAGTTATACTCCTAAACAACAACTGTAAAGTGTTCCGACTGGTGTGTGTTATTCGCAATCGAATTGAATTTATTTACATTCTATAAATCCTAAGCAGGTTAGTACCTTTGGATACAGAACAAGTCAAAAGGTTACATACATAAGTACAGGCAATTTTAGCTTAAAAATTAATATAACTTAATTTTACATCATTTTCAATTTACATTGAAGTATTCATCTAAAGAGTAGAAGGAATGAGCATGTAGATAATTCTTTAACTCTGATTTAAACTTGTTAGTATCATTGCCCAAGTTTTTAATACTTTGTGGCAGATTGTTGAACACTTTTATGCCAGTAAAGTAGACTCCTTTTTGATATACTGATAAATACAATACAAACGTCTTTCAATTTTTTTCAAATTTTAAAATCTGCAAATTTGCCTTAATATTCGTTTTTTATAATTAAGTTAAAACAGTATGCAAGATTCGAGTTTTTCAACACGGTGACTGTGAAAAAAGCAGTCTTCTGGGATATGGCGCCGCATAGATATTGTTTTAACTGACGTTTTGGAGGAAAGTATCGTCTCCGTCTTCAGGGTAGAAGAAAAAAGAAGTTAAAACAGATACGATAATTCGAACTATCCAAAATCATACCAATTTTGGGTAATTATTATTAGTGTTAGTATTGCAATTTTTATTATTTTATATTTGTTTTATTTAGGCGTGTAGTCCCGAGTTCGGTGTAATGATCGTTTGCCTTGATGAGCGCTGTAGAACCAGGTTCTCGGTGGGTGCGTGCAGTCTCTTGTCGCGCATTGCAATTATATATCACATATGCGTATTTTTTCGTGTTCGCTTTATGTGTGCTGGTTATATATTTCAGACCACTGTGTGCATATATGCAACTGTATAGTTGCCCAAGAATTGCACATACATTGTAAGGTTGAATAAAATATTCTGTACACAATATGACGCTAAAATACATCACTTTTAGTTACTATATAGAGTGCTATGTACTTAGAATAAGAGCAATCATAGTTACTTTATGTTGAAGAGCAGGTAAGGCGTGAGGAAGTGAGGAAGGGAAAGCGATAGGAAAGCCCTGCACTGTCAGGGGAGGTAATTGACCTTGTGAGGCCTACACAAGAAGAATGCAGTGAAAGGCTGACTTTGGATATCAACTCAGCATTTACTCTAGGACTGAAGAAAACCATGGTAAGACTTGATCTACATAGTCTGTCTTAGAACCTTCCGGAAGCATGCCAACTTCCGGCCAGCAGCCGTCGCTCAAGTACGCGAAACCTGGGTTTAATTTGTACATGCGACTGTGGCTTTGTAACTTTCCCACGTGTTTCGTGCCTCCTTCCGCTGCTGTATTAGAGAACATAGAAGACATCATGAAATTGACTCTGTAATCTTACCAATATGTACGGTACCCACAGCTATTAGAGAAATGTACAAATGTTGCGATTTGAATGCTCATTCTCGAGTGCTTTTGTTTAATTACACGAGATAAGTTTAATTTATTAAATTGAGTGCTATTCCGCCCTCAGATTTTACTGTTTGAGTATACTGCACAATATGTTGTGGTATCAGGAAGGAACCCACCGCGGCGGCCCGGGTTCGATCCCCGGTCTGGTCAAGTGGGATTCGTGGTGGACAAAGTGGCGCTGGGGCAGGTTTTCTCGGAGTACTTCGGTTTCCCCTGCCAATCTTCATTCCACCAATTGCTCCACAATCACTCTCACCTATCATCTGGGGCTGGTACAATAGGCCAGAAGTGGCCGCAGTACAAGGGACTTAGTCCCACCCCACTAGCAATAAAAAAAAATCAGGAAGGAAAACAACCACGTCCCGAAGCAGAATGGGCAATGCCGTTTCTAAGAAGCGAAAGGCATGGGCGCATCTTTGCTAATACAGTACAGGCAATATGCCAAGAGAAAGAAAATTTATAAGGCAGATAATGACAGAGAGTGTCTGGAGAAAATGGAGGAAAGCTGTGTGAGCAAAATCTCGTCTCCGAACCCTCCTTCAGTTCAATTCAGTCTGTTACACACGGCACGACACAAGAATACATTCGAATACTTTCTGCTCTCTGAGACTAAATTTCCTACTCATTTTATCTTGAAATTAACTCGCTCCAAGAAGCATAGCCATTCTTCAGAAACTAATAGTTGCTAAGCTAGTCCAGTCATTATCGTCACTTCATGAAACCCAGAGGCTCAATGCCGTGTACGCAAGTGTCCGCCGCTGTGCCAGAAGAATCCAATCCACTTCCTATCATTTTATATTTTAAATAGCCATTTTAAAATTATCCTTCCATCTATGCCCATGTTTTACTTGTCGACCCCTTCATTCAGGGTTTTCTCCTTTCAGTCCCATACATGCTACATGACCTGCTTATCACATCTTTCATTCCGTCATCATAGTCGTTTTTGGTGACGCATGCAAATTATGAAGTTCCTCATTATTAAGTTCTCTGCATCCTCCTATCACTTCATCTCTCTTCGTTCCAGATGTTTCCCTCAGACTCTCTCCCCTAGGGTCAGAGGTCACGTTATATTTTTAGACAGCAGACAAAATACCTGTATAACAGATTCTATACTGAACGGAACCAAGCACTCAATAGAATTCCCTCTGAATTTCAGAATCAAAATTTTGTATTAGCTTCTTCTTTCACCCATCGAGATGCTAATATTATTTTCCCTCTATAACACAGCGGTAACTATATGTACCACCTGCTTTAACATTAAAACAACTCTGCATTTTTCCCACACAGAGCATTTATAAGTTTGGCGTGATTCTCACAATAAACAAACATTATGCCCCTAAACAGCGTTAAGAGATCGGTTTTGCACTACGATTTCTGTGAGGTAGGAACTGAATTTATGTATATGGCTTAGACTGACTTCAGGCTTGAAAGCCTTCAGTGTTACATACATTTTGAGGTTTCGTCTACAGCGAGGCAGAGAACTGAGGGGCTCCTTGAGGCAGTACTGCCTCGCACCAAGCACCGTGTGCACCATATATTCGTCATCATCCACAGCCTCAAAGTCCGTGAAAAATATCTCGCGGTCCACGGGGTTCAGCTCTTTCCGCAGAGCACAGAATTTGGCGCTTCTGAAGTTCCATTTTCTGGTGGTGAAGTACTGCAGAACTTCGAGGCCATCTTGAATCTTGTACTGCAGGCGTACCATACTGACGAACATGCAACAACATTCAAAGTCAACAGACTATTTCTAGAACTTTATAAGCACAGCGCGGTCGCATTCTATTCATTCATTTATTTGCAGTTCTACAAAATCCATGGAGGCGTCTGCCTCAGATATAGAACAAGTCAGCAATACAATATAATATGTGAATATACATACATAATCAGATAGTCATCATCGTCAAAATTTTAAATATTCAGTGCAACAAGACTACTGTACAACAATGCATTCCATATGTCAATTTCTTGTTCCATCACATCCATTTGAGGCCGGAGCCTAAATACAGAGTTGTGTCAAATTATCTTGCCAATACAATCAAGCAATTCTCTAATAAAATCTATGTATAATTTATAACAAAAATTGTTTACGTCGTAGTAAAGTTATTCTCTAATATTTAAACATTAAAACTTCAATAAAATTCAAGATGAGATATTCACATAAAAAAAAACAAATGTTGATCATACAGTTCATTGTTATAAAATGAATTCATCATATATATTCCACCAAACATATTATATTTGTATACTAGTTTTTTAAAAAATATAATATATAAATTAAATACATCATATATTATTCTACTAAAATAATTATAATTATATTCTAGGACGCGATCCTGAAGACCTCGCATGATTGGAGACAAGTTTTGAAAAGCATACGTGATTCTTGTTGATTTTTTAGGGGGTGGGGATTCGCATTATTTCAAACTTTGCGAATAAAGTGAGATTTTATTAATATTTTTTTATATCGCGCTATTTAAAATTCGCATAAAATGCGACCGCACTATATTGCTCTTCTGTTTATATGTGTGGTTGGCAATTCTCTATTCTTTCAAGATTTCTTGACCAAAATGTTATATGCTTTTCTCGTACCTCATCCCCCATGATTCAATCATCATTTTACGTTTTTTATATATTCTTGCCGCTTTGAACGACCAATTGTACCAATATCGAATGAGAGATGATAAAATAGACCATTTTGGTGGAACAATAATTGGCAGGGGAAACTGCATAGCGCGAAATAACCTGCCCCAATTCCACTTTCTCCACAACAAATCCAAAATTAACTGATCTGGGATTGAAACCGAGCCACCTTTGTCACTAGCAATTTCAGTTTAAGAGCAAAATCTATGATGCTCATCAACATACAATTTCTCCACAAAATTTTGAAACAACTGAATAAAGATATTGATTTTATTAAACATTTTTGTAGAAAAGAATGAACATGAGAAATGAATACAGGAATTTTGTTGAAAACCCTGAAGTTAGAAGATCAGTTGGAAGATGTAAGCATAGATAAGATGATACTAAAACCAATCTTAGAACAATTTTTGTGTGAAGGGAATGAACTTGATTCAAGTCAGAATAGAAACTAAAGTCAAGTCAGCGCACGAATCGACACGAGTAAGGGGAGATAGAATCGGCCTGCAGCCCCACCTCAAGGCCTGTAGATGTTGTGGGTGTGGCTGGCATGTTGAAGGAGGAGCTGCTAGGCAAATCTATGTCGATTCTTTCGTTGATTCGTCTATACAGACCCCTGCCAATTTACAATGTTGTAGCTTACGTAACCCCGGACTTACGACATTACTGCATTTATACCTCGAAAGTGACATCCGATATTGCGCCTCAGACGTCCGGAGTTCGAGAATCCTCAGTGCTCCGAGTCGAGTCTGCGTTCTTACGGCCGATGTTCATTAGCGCCATACGAGACGCTCGCGGTCACACTCACTCGCGGCCATCTTGGATACCTTAAATATGTTTGTACCGATACTATTTGCACATTTATTGTAAAAAGGGTAAAGTTGCCTTTGTGCTGAATTAATTAAGCACTACGCTATGAAGACATATGGGGAAGTGGAGGTATGGCTCCACTTTCTTGACCTCGGTACTAGATGGAGGTGAGTGGTTAGGTTCACTCCCCGGCCGCCTTACCCTCAGTACCCATTGGATAGGATGCTCGGCGGACCCCAGAGCAAGTCTGGACACTGTGGAGTACAAAAGAATCTCTTGTCCCAGCAGGGAATCCAACCCTGGCAGCTCAACCCTTAACCATCCGCCATAAGGACTTTGTTATTATTGTGCTTTAATTAAGTGAACGCAATTCTGTATGTTGGTACATATGTATTCCGAAGTCCTGGATCGTATCTAAATAAAACGATTCCTAAGACGGGGGCACTCACAAGCGCTTCTGTCTGCAGAGCAGTAGCAGCAGATCTATGAAGTAGGCGGGCAGGAAGTGCAGGAAGATGACGTAGATGTTGTGGACGAGCTTGCTGCTGCGGATGTTGCCGTCAGGGTACCACAGCATCATCTCGAAGGGGTTGTCGTGCACCACTGCGCGCCCCTTGTCCAGCATATCCTTGAACGTGATGCGCTTCACGGACGAGGACGTGATGTTGTACACCGGGACCTCGTCCGGCCTGCAACACGAGCCTCAGTAACTTCGCGGCTCTCAGAGTGTTCTCAGGGGAGTCGGTTTTCAGCGAAGACAGATTTTAAGAAGGGTCAGTTTTCCAGAGGGGAGCCAGTGTTCCAGGGGTAGTTATTTTTTTCAGGAGCCAGTTTTCCAGGAGTAATTATTTTTTTTAGGGAGCCAGTTTTATGGGAGTCAGTTTTCCAGGCTGGCCGGTTTTCAACGAAGACATATTTTAAGAAGGGTCAGTTTTCCAGAGGAGAGCCAGTTTCTTTTAAGGGGGCAGACGAAAACTTGCTTAAAATCTCATTTTAACGCATTTAATATTATTTTTAATAAAAGCCTCGGAGTATTCAGGATAGAAAATTAATTTTCAAAGGCTTTTAATTTTTATTATTGGTATTTGATGGATATCGTTTGGAACAGCCTATGAGGATGAAATGCACAGGGCACATAGCACGTACGGGACAGAAGAGGAGTGCAAATAGAGGAAAAATTGAAGGAAGAATACCATTAGGAAGGCCTAGACGTAGACGGGAGGATAATATTAAATGGATTTCAGAGAAACAGGATAAGGTGGAGAGATTCGTCTGGATCGCGCTAGGGACCAGTGGCCCTTGTGAACATGGCAATGAACATTCGATTTCTATAAAATGTTGGGAATTTCTTGAGTAGCTGAGCAACTGCTGGGCTGCTGGAAGATCATCTCCATGCAGTTAGTTTTTTTTGTATTGCTAGTGGGGTGGGACTAAGTCCCTAGTACTGCAGCCACATCTGGTCTATTGTACCAGTCCCAAATGATAGGTGAGGGTGATTGTTGAGCAATTGGTGGAATGAAGATTGGCAGGGGAAAGCGAAGTATTCGGAGAAAACCCGCCCCAGCGCCACTTTGTCCACCACAAATCCCATTTGACCAGACCCGGGATCGAAGCCGGGCCGCCGCGGTGGAAAGCCAGAGACTAACCGCTTGAGCTATGCCACGGCCTATGCAGTTAGTCAGGTATGTTTCCTTGCTTTCTTTATTCTTATTTTTACCAAAAATCTAGAGAGTGGGACGGATGTCTGGTTTGCCAGGCCCCACCTACCGGCCTTTGTGCTCCCTTGTCTCCAAGGACTCTCTCTTCTCTCAGGAAATGGCCCATCGCGAGGCCTGTCAGTGGAAACCGTGGCTGGAGATGAGAGATATCAGATTTTTCTTCTGAATTTTCGACGGGATTTCCACTAGAAATATCTAACGCTCTGCGGTGTTACCTGTTTTCAGAAGTTCCTGTCCTCCAGGCAATGGCGATCAGGCCACTGATGGCCATGTCCACAGGCACCACCTCGGCCTGATACTCTCCCTTGCAATGCATGGACCGTATCACACCCTTGCCTCCCCCCACCAGTAGTCCTATGGGGCCATTCAGGCTGTCCACCCAGCCGGGCATGGGCTCTTTAAATGTCGGGGTCACTGCAACCAGAAAACATAGCGTGAATCTGGCCATCACCGTCACCTCTAATTCAGTTACAGTGTTTGTAGACTACACACAATTTGCATTCTTCGCAAACTATTCTTGTGATGATCATATCAAGGATAATAAGATGAGTAGGGCAAGTAGCACGAAGTTTAGAGATGAAAACTGCATAAAATTTTTGTCTGTGGAGACTCCTGTGTGTCCCAGCTACAACCGACGAGTTTATTCTACAGAAACGTACCAATAGCAGGCCTTGCTATGACGACAGGCAAATCAGGGCAGTGGTTGCCGACGAGACATTCCGCCAGCCGTTTCGTGTAAGTGTAGGTATTCGGGTGAGGAGCAATCAACCTGAAAAAGGAAACACAGTTACTCGGGGGCACTCATCCGGTCATGATACGCCCTAAGGACGTCCTGTGTGGTGTACCCACACATCAACTGACCAATCAAGTAACTAATTACTAATTTAACTATTAATTAATTAATTCATTCATTAATAAATCAGTTACTTAACTATTTAATTGCTCCAGTAACGATACCAAGTTAAAACTGCATACAAGAGGAAATCAAAAAGCAGATTAAATTCAGGGAATAGTTACTACCATTCAATTCTTCTCTCATGTCTTCCTGTTTCCTATCTAAAAACGTGAAGATCAGAATGTAGAGAACTAAAATTTTGCTTGCAGTTTTGTATGGGCATGAAACTTTGTCTCTCATATCAAGGCAGAAACACAGACAGAGGGCGTTTTGAGAACAGGGGGCTGAGGGGAATATTTAGAACTACGAGGGAGGAAGTAAAATCAGGATTGAGAAAATGATATAACGAGGAACTTCATAATATGCACACTGCACCAAACATTATAAGAGTGACCAGATCAAAAGAATGACATTGGTTGGGCATGTAGCACTCATTGGAGAGATGATGTACGAAGTTTTCGTCAGAGAACGTTAAGGTATAGGAAATTTTGATGCAGAGAGGGATAATATTAAAATTAATTTTTAAAACACCTAAAGGGAGGATGTGGACTGGATTCATCTGACTCAGGATAAGGTCGTTTCGCAGCCTTTTGTGAATATGGTAATGAACATTCAGAATCTGCAGAAGACGAAGAATTTCTTGACTAGTTGAACAACTGTTATCCTGTGAAGAAGGGCTCTGGTCCACTGAGTTTGTCACTTGACTGACTGAGAGACTGATAATACTGCACTATGCAATTTTTTCACTCTTATAGGCTGAATTTCTTCTACATGACATACGAATTCAGTCCGTACCTGACAGGAAACACTACGTCTCCGCTACAAAGACCAACCGGTTAATGCTGTTTGGGGAGACAGTAGCTGTGTGTTAAGGCGCCTCACTCCTTACCTCTCAGTTATCATGCTGAGCATAGTCTCGTCCATCCACTGAACGCACCTCATGACGTCGTGGGGGTCCAGTGGCGACTCGTATATCCTCTCTTCCAGCACGTCCTGGTCACAGTGGCAGAAGGCGGTGGACAGGTGCACGAAGGCCTGGCAGCACACAGCTATACTGCAAGTGTCTTATATATGTTTCCGTGTTACCATCCTTCTCTAAGCAACAGTTCAGTGACGCTGTGTTATGTGGTCCTCATTTAACCATTAACACTACAATTATATGCTTCTTGACAATAAGTTTAGTACGACATGTGCTTCTACATTCCGTAAGCTCTCGAGGAAACTGGTAACAGAATTTTCACCGAAGAGTTATATTTTCCGGGATATAGTTCGTTGAAGATTAACGGCGTTTCGGAAGAACATGTAAACCCATCTTCAGAGTTGAAGAATAATCCACGTAAGAAACCAGCGTGAAGCAGGTAGCAAACAGTGCTTTGGCTTATTCTTCGATTCTGAAGATGGAGGTGATATGTTCCCCCGAAACGTCCGTTAACTTTCAACGGATTACATGGTATTATACCCCAGAAGATAGATATTTTCATAACTACTGCTGTGAGAATCTTAAATAATCAGAACTGACATTGTTTCAATTGCAGTTTAAGACTGGTTATTATTACAGTAAAATAAAAGGCACTGGAGCTGGGGTATATTGTGCTGGAACAAGGCTGAAGCATACCTTCAGCTTCGGTCAGTACACAACAGTATTCCAGGCAAAAGTGTATACCATTAAGGCATGCGCAGTTGAGAATTTAGATAGGAACTATAGAAATAGGAACATTTATATTCTATCAGACAGTCAAGCTGCAATTAAAGCACTTGGTACACACCAAATCACTTCAAAGTTGGTTTGGGACTGCCACCAATCCCTCATACAACTGGCCAGACATAAGAGAGTTCAGCTGATATGGGTGCCAGGCCATGAGGGTATTGCAGCGAATGAAACCGCAGATCAGCTGGCAAGCACAGGATTGAACAACCGTTCATAGGACCTGAACCATCTTGCGGCATCTCAGTTGGAGTTGCCAAGAAAGTGATCAGAGACTGGACTAACAGAAATCACAAAAACCACTGGGAATCCACAACTGGACTCAAACATGCAAAAGGATTTATATCACGACCCTCNTACTGGGATTCCATAACTGGACTCAAACAGGCAAAAGGATTAATATCAGGACCCCATTAAAATTAAACAGAGATCAACTCAGATGGGTGGTAGGATTACTTACAGGACACTGCCACCTAAAAGGACACCTTTCCAAACTGGGACTGACAGAGGACCCAGTTTGTGAGAGGTGCCTACAAGAAGACGAATCAGTCACACACATCTTATGGGATTGTGAGGCTATAGCTTACGTAAGATATCACCACCTGGGTCAGTTCTTCATGGAACCAAGTGACGACTTTTATGACGCCCCCGTAATCAAAGTCCTACATTTCATTCGAAGTGTAGGATTAATAAGGGGTTAATCCAAAGGGGAAGCACAATAGACCATTGAAGGTCGCAGTGCGAGGGCCAGTTTTATGGCTCACCCCTCATACTCATACAGTAAAATATATATTAAAATTGATATTGACGCCTATTGTTTTTGTATATCATTAGAGTCATTTTGTTTTGTGTCTTTCGTTGTTCTGGTTTGGCTTCCTGTTGTCGACTGGTATTTCTCGGTTACTGCGACATAACATTCGACAACACGGAGCCAAATCATGTCACTAACCGAGAAATACCAGTCGGCAACAAACAGCCAAACCAGAACAACAAAACACAACAAAAAATGATGATAATGATATAAAGAGAACAATAAGGGGAGTCCACTCAGCCTCTTGAAGATAATTGAGGAGCTATTTCAAGGAAATGACGGCTCCGGTCTAGAAAACCGAAATTAACGGCCGTGGGAATTCGTTGCGCTGACCACGTGACACCTTCTATCCGCTAAAGTTGGCACTAGCTTCGCCGCTTGGTCGGTATAGTTCGCTTGTAGACTAAAACCATGGAGTTTGTTTTTTTTATTTTGTTTTTACTGTAATGTTAACCTAGTTTAAATTACAATTGAAAAAGTGTAACTTCTGTTACCAATTTCCTCGAGCTTACAGTGTACAAACTGCATAGACGTGCCTGGCGATAGTCGATCGGCACACAGTTGCAGTAATTATGGTTAAATGAAAACCCACATCATATCCGAACGTCACTCAATTGTTACATGTAGGAGGAGATAAACACGGTCCACCATTTGAACCATAAACAACATGATGATTGTTACGTAAATTAAGTTACTAGAGCAGACCAAGGCTCCAATCGGACTGTACTATCAAGAAGAAACTGCTGAACTGAAGGCATAGGCCCTGCGATGGTCTGATCCCCCATCCAAGGAGTCCTACCGACTATCTTCATATGGATTTTAATATTCAGTACTGTTACAAATGCAGTCATTTCCTTAACCAACAATAACTAAACTTAAATTCCTGCCTCACAGAAAACATATTATTCTTTCATTACTAAGACCAACCAGTTAATGCTCTTTAGGGAAACCTCTGTGTACTGCAAAAATCATAAGAAAAAACATAAATAAACTGTGTGAGAAAAATTCAGAACTCAACACTGTTAAAGTGGGCTCTGCACATAATTACCACCGGGTTTTGGAGTTTTGGTGTCTTTTAACCTTAGAAATAATTAAATTGTACGTATTTATAATCTAATTAGACACAGACAGCTCATGTTTGTAACACATTCTACTGCAGTCTTGATATGTATGCAGCCATGTACCGTCATGAAAGTTCTGCAGGGCCGTTTGTGACTCCCGAGCCGGTCTTTATCCACCCCTGGTATATGTATTATGAATATATTTCATGTGAGAAGTGTAGTTCAGTTTATGAAAACCCCGGAAGAAGGACATCTGTGCTTNGTTTCATGTGAGAAATTATAAATTCTTTTCCGTGTAGTTCAGTTTATGAAAACCCCGGAAGAAGGACATCTGTGCTTTATCCAGTATGTAATAAACAAACATGGAGTGGGCAGGAGAAACAAACTGCGTTTTGAAACTCTGTGAATTGCATCCAGTGTCGACATCATAACGCCGTGAACTTAAAAGGTGACCATACCGTTATTTCGAAACGCACACACGCCAGTGAAAGTATTCTGTCCGATTGCACAAAATAAGGTCATCCGGCCCAGACATAACCTGACACGGATCATGAGCAGGATCATCTGTATAGCCTTGTTTCCGTGTCTCTTCTGTAAAAGGAGGCTCAAACATGGTTATTCCCCTGCATGTCTCCATATTAACGTATTGTGACGTTTATAACCATTGCTAGGCAACGGCTCAGTAAACATATCCCCGCGAAGAGTACGCATGCGATAAGAGGACGTCCATTGCTAGGCAACGGACCAGTAACCCCGCCTCCCCAACAATACAGTCTGTTTTCTGCGTGGTCCGTGCAGAGGGGTTATAAAAGGAAACAGTCAGAGAAGAGAACAGAAGTAGTAGCAGTAGAGAAGAGTAGAGGCAAAGTGAAGGGTCGAGCTGCGAGACGCCAGCCGGTCAGAACAAGAACTTGGGAGCAAAGAAATTGAAGGGAGTCGAGTCTTCGGGAGTGGCAGTTGCAGAATAAGGGCAAGAAATTAATTAAAAAAAGGTAAAGGTAAAATTGTCCCTGTGCTCAACGAATTAAGAACTACGCCATTAAGGCGTACGGGGGACTGAATGTATAGATCCATATTTTCTTGACATCGGCACTAGGTGGAGGTGAGTGGTACGCTTCACGCCCCGGCCGCTTTATCCCCGGGTGAAAGAGCCCCCAGTACCCATAGGATAGAAAGTTGGGTGGACCCCAGAGCCGGTTTGGACGATCTGGAGAACAGAAAATTCTTGACTACCGGGACTCGAACTCTGACCCCTCAGTCGTCCAGCCCGTAGCCCGTCGTCATAGCGACTACGCTACCCCGGCCCAGAAAGTAATTAAGGGCTACAAATAAGACTAAATGTGTGATTTGAGGCTACAGTGAGACTGTGACAAATCCGTTGCCAGGATAAGATTAGTGAAGGCTCAGAACCCTCGTGCGCGTGTAACGGTGAACTGCAAAGTACGTAGAATAGTGGTAGAGCTATATTGCCTGTAGTCGTATTGCCTGTAGTCCTGTAAGGTGTCAATAAATGCAGCCATCCTATCCAAAAGCCGTCTTATAAGTCACGAACCCCTAAACGTGAACATATAGTAAAAGGTAAAGTTTCCCCTGTGCTTAATTAAGTAAGCACTATGTAATGAAGACGTATGGAGGAGTGAAGGTAAAGCTCCACTGTTAACCAACGCCTCTGGTGCTCACCCAGCCTCCCATCGAATGACTGCTGCTGGCTCTTGCTCCGGAGGTAAAGCAACAGGGACATGAAGCTAACCACACACCTTCAGCTTGTGACGAGTTATGAACATGCGGAGCTATACCTCCACTCGGTCATATGTCTTGATGGTGCGTTGTTTTAATTAAGCACATGACGTCACAGACCAGTCGGTATAGCGACGAGCTATTTCTACTCCATAGTGTCCAGACCGGCTCTGAGGTCCACCCAGCCTCCTGTCCGATGGGTACCGGAGGCTCCTTCCCCGGAAGTAAGGCGGCCGAGGCGTGAAGCTGATCAATCACCTACATCTAGTGCCGAGGTCATGAATGCGTGGAGCCGTACCTGCACTCCCCACACGTTTTCATTTTCATGAAGTGGTGCTTAATTCATTAAACACAGGGACAACTTGGCCTGTACCGTCTTTACTTTTAGAGGAAAAACAGAGGAGACAGAAAATAAATGACATAATTGAAGGTAATTTTGTGACAAATACATCGGAAGACGAATTAATACATAATAAGACGGTATGGACACATTTTCAGAACGAATGGAGAAACAAATCCAAAACAAAAAATATGAGCATGGAACTGAAAGGAAAACGCCACCGAGGAAGACCGGGATCTCGATGGGAGCAACAGATTAGGAAATATGTCACATGGGAATTCAGGAAGAGACAGACAGATGCAGAGGCTTTGTTGTCAGGCGGCCCCTAGCAAGTGGGAACGTCTGAGGAAGAAGGAGCTAAGAGTCATCCGCAACGGAGAGCCGTAAAGTACGCCTTGGAGATGTGAACTACACGCATGGGCTTCAGGTCAAGGAC